TGGGGCAAGAGCAACCCTGTGCTACTCCATTCCTCAGATGCTCTGGTGAAAACTCTGGTATCTCAAAATGACTTGAAACCAAAGAAAGGAAGTTGTGGATTGTGTGAATGCAGTTGCATTTTGTGGATTTAATACAGTTTGTTTTTTCAAACTAGTTCATACATAATCATCTGACTGCAAGCTATATGTTAAATTTCTTCTCATAAAGGCTGTGGCAACGAAGCTGAAAGTCTCTGACCTCGTCGCCGGACACTGAAAATGCTCTTCAATGTTGTGCAACAAACTCCCGTGTAACTCCTGTGTCTCATTCACAAACAACAAACTTTAAATATTTGAAATAGTACTTCCCATGAACTTTTACAACTGCCCTTCAAAATTACATCTTTGTATTTACAATCTCTCTGAGAAACCTAGTTATTTTGTAATTTTCTTTTCTTGTGGGATCTTTTCCTGTCTTCAATTACAGTTCTGTGCAAAGCCACATTTGTGTTTTGCTCTGGATCCCCGTGTCTCACTCCCTCCCTGTGACTCTGTTGTCTCCCAGCTCATATTTCTGCTTTGCTGGCTTCGGTTTTGCACACTTGCACTTGGGCCCCATGTAGCATATTTAACGGCAGCTATAATATCCAATAAATCAATGCAGAGCAATCCCTATTGCAATGAACAATTTCCAACATCTTCTGATCAATATAATTTTTAAGACCCTAATCCATTTTTTGTTGGGTTTTTTTGCTTACAGTTGTGTAAGTAAACAAAAAAGAAATGACGCTTTTTTCTCAAAGAAGATTTACGCCAAATTTTTGTTGCTTGACCTGCTTGACTGGTCTTGAAGCTCTCTAACTGATAAGATATTGATCAGACTGTTACTTGGTCTATAAGCCCCCTTCCTGGAGACATAAGCATAATGGAGTATCTGCTCAGTGAAAGCCATTATGCAAATAAACATAAAGCTGCCCAGCCAGGCATGATGAAGTGATGCTTGCTTTCAGAACACAGTAGGTCCTACACAATGAATGGCCCCTCCCCCAACATGCGTACTGTACAATTCACATGACCTCCTCGCTCTTCCCTCTCATGTTTCTTCATACTAATGTGAGATGCTCTGCTGGTAATAATCCATGCTTTACTCACCTATTAATCCTAATATTATCAGCAGGCGCTGCTCCTCTGTTTTCTCCAGCTTCAAGCACATGAACAAAAACTCTAAAACTTCTGCGACCACAAGTATGACAAAAAAACCACGCTCACATGATCTGTTGCTTTGTTCCTGTGTTTTATGAAAATGGGAAGTGACTTGTGACAGAGGATTATGGGTAGTGGTGTGCAAGCGTCTGCAGTGACTATGAGTTTGTGTGTGTTGAGTAGGGTTGGATGCAGGGGGTGAGGGGAGCTAATGGAGCTAATCTTCTGATGTCCCCTGGGGCATGTCCCCTCCCGGGAGAGAAGGACTCTGTGACAGACGCTGTTTTGACAAAGGGACACTTGTGTCACCGTCACACTAGGAGCAGACTGATGAAAAAACACAAAACAAGAAGGGGGGTGCAACTTCAACATGTTGACTGTCTGGAGCCCCGGGCCTCACACGTGTGGCCTAAATAAAATCTCTGCATCAGAACATTAAAAAAAATAATAAAAAAAAAACTCACAAACGCAACAGATTGGTTCATTTTAGATTAATTTAAAGGTTTTCTGTAATAACGGAACCTTTCTTTCTGAGCCTTTCTTAATCCTCCATCATAAAGGTCAGCTTTATGAGTGAAGTCTCTAGCTCCAGAGCCACATGCTGCTCTTTAGCGCCGCCCCAGTGGATCTATGGAGCATTTTCAAAAAATGTTTGAAAATGGAAAAAAAAAAAATGGAAACGTGCATATATATAAGCCGCATCAACAATCGGATTTTTTTTTTTTTTATTGCATTTGTTTAATTTGATCAAGGTAACACAGCATAATACATTCATTTTATAAAGGAAGGTAAACTTGAAGCACCATTATGCAACAGAGTAGTCACATGGTGCGTCACTCCTTCCAGGACGCACTGCAGGGAAAATAAACATTTAATCACGAAAGCCAATTATGTATACACTTAGTCATTTTGATAATAGGCTAATATAAACACTTTAAGGCCTGTTTTGCCTTCATTATATGACTTTTTCTTTTTTTTTTTTTTTTTACAGCTCAAGGCAGATTTTCTTTTGTTTGTTTTTTTATTTTTTTTGGTCCAATATAACTCTTTCAACGTTTTGGGCTGCCGATCCCCGAGATATAGACCTGGCACCAGTCACCACCAGATGATGCCACTGTGCCTGTGCCTTGGTGTCAGTAAAGCAGGATAAACCAAGATTTGAACAGGCTTCAAACAACTTAAAGTTGCAAACCACAGAGCCAGAAGTGAAAAATAAATACTCCTGAATCTATTTTTATTATTATTATTATTATTTATAAGCATTTTCTACACATGTAGTCTTTTGAGTTGTAAGACTTACAGTATGGCTTATTTCACTGATCAGGTTTAAAACTGTGAATATTTCACTCTAACGCATGTTAAAGAGAAAATGTCTGCTTATTTATCACTTATGGTTTGATTACTAAATATTTTTGAAATACATTTTACATTTTTGATGCTTCAGGAGTGATTTTGTTCCCCGGTTATGTTTTGTTTCAGCAGACAAATTAAGAGTTTGACAGCATCCATCAGCTCTGCATGTTTTCAGAACGGCCAGCAGCCACAAATGACAAACAGATGTGTGGCTGCGGCAGTGTAGGAGTTGCCTTTCTGCTAATGAGCCTCTATAACTGTTTAGTGATGTAGGTCATTTGACATAAACTACCATTACTTCCAAAACGCTCGAACAAAAACAACAGCAACAACAACAACAAAAAAAAAAAACGCACAAAGCAGTTTTAATAAGTTTTTTTTTTCATCTCATCATTCTCATCAAATACTTTTTCTCCAAACATCTTGGGTGAGGGGAAAAGCAGCAACACCACTTTGCCCTCGCTGTGTTTGTTGAGCAATGATCAGGCAAATAAAGTCAGATTTTGCTTGACATCTGTGACCAAACTGAAGAGATTTCATTCCTGATTCAGACCTACATAGAACCCCAAACCTTCCTCTAGCACTTTTGCATAAATACACTTAAGTGAAGCAAGCTGACTGTAAGTTAGCTTAATAAGTCCTTATTTGCCTCTGTTTGTGAGTGTTGGTCTTTAGTTCCCCCAACAACCACACGATGGAAGCAGATCATGCCGTGTCACTGATCCTTATGGGGCCTGCTTAGCCAGGGCTACAAATATTTGGATTTTTCCTTGACTTTTGCATCATTTATAAGTTATTTCAGAATAAAGTTAAATCTAGTATAATCAAAATCTTATGTTGTTGCTGTCAACATTCACAAATTATCATTTGTACTGTAATGTGATCAAATCACTAAACATACAAGTGAACCATAAATAGGTTATGTATGTGTCTATTCTGACAGCTCACCTTCTGTTAAACGTTAGAGATCATTTATTTGAGAATTTGTGTACAGTATTGAACATTTTTCTTGCTGTCTCAAGGTTTCTTTTCTTTTTTTTTTTTGCTTGGATAGCTAATTTTAAATAAAGTACTTCACTTCTATATCCATCTGTAATACATATTTCTTCCCTTGATAAGAGAAATGACAATGTTTTATTCTACACTTTCAAGTTGCTTCAGTGAGCTTTTCGTTATTCCTTCTCATCCGTTAAACATAACTAAGTTAATAAACTTGGAATTAGAAAATTTTAGAGGAAATTTACACAGAATTTGCCAAAGAGTGCCTGTCGGTTGAAAAGTAGCGCTCTGATGCAAAAACATTTGCATTGATGCTAAAGTAAGCTACAATGTAGTCAATAGCTTGTGGACAATTATGGAAATGTCAACATGGACTTCTTCCATTAAGTATGCTAAAATTAGTTTATAATCTAAAATTAGCCAAAACACTGATATTTGCCTAAAAGCTGTCAGTAGCATGTTTTTTTTTTTACTTTGACTTTCTCCATTCAGTATGTTAGATGTAGATAAGAATAAAAGAATTGCTAAAATGCTTATTATTTTGTATATAAACTCTTTCAAATGCTTGCTTTTTAAATGCCATATTAGATTCATTGTGTTGACGTATTTTGACGTGCTTCACCCCTGAGGTAATTTTCCGCAGCACTACGCAAACGTCACATTTCTAATTACAACACTGTCGGATAAAGACGCTGAATGCCACCATGTTTGTTTGTGAAGCGCATGTTGGATGGAGAGAGTAGAAACTTTGCCATCATAATTTTAAAAAGCCGGCTCGCACGGCCACATGAAAAATTAAGCATTCTAAAATGGATCCATTCTGGAACCCAAAAATGATAGTTTCTGGTCTCCCAAGATGCCGAGTCTGTGTGAATGTGCAGAATACATAACAAAATTTTTTTATGGATACACGCACCTGAGCTCGTTTCCTCGTGGATAAGGCCTTAATTTGCTTATATCTTGACTGGTTCTAACTAAGCATACTAAGTAGTGTGTGTTACACATGGATATTAACATCTAATGCAGACTCTGACCATGGTAGTTTGGGTTCTTAAAAAGACATTTTTGTAAAGACTGAAGATATTTCTATCATGAAAATAACCTCTTTTTGACATTGATTCACCTAAATAAGCTTTAATCTCTAAACACAAACCTTTGTCATGCATGTGATTAAGAAGTTAACTAAAGCAGGTAAGATATTTACAAGTCATTACCTCTTAAGAGAACCTCACCCCACAATCTGAATTTTCTGTCACACTGAGATGTAAATACTGTAATTTAAAAGAAAAATGTACACTTTTAAAGCACCTTTAATTTTTTTTTAAAGACAGAAAATGTAAATTCCACTTTGAAACATGGCAAACCACAATCTCTCTTCAACAACCCACCTACTTTCACTCTGATTCTCTCTCACTTGGTGAGTTACTCAGAAACTTTCCTCTTCCTCAGTACTTTGCACATTGAAGCCCCAACGACTGAAGCTCCTCCCTTTCAGCACATCTGAACGAACGCTGAAGAAGAGAACATAACTTCTTTTTCATTTGACTTCCACTACTGGGAAATACAGTACAACGTACATAACCTAGATTTGTTCTTCAACTAAAAGAGCAGTAACAGTATACTGCTTCAAACGACTGGTTTCCTGAACACACCCTCTTGCAGTGGGGCTGCATCAACTTCTTTTCAACCTACGTCTCAGACCAACAACATCTACCACCTATAGGTGAGCAACGTTTTTTTTTTTTTTTTCAAACATATCTATCTTCTTGTGCATGTCTGGTTCTAGTGACATAGCCTTTGCTACAACATGATTAAGATATACTGAAAATAACCGGTGAAAGCCGATATTGAAGTTATAGGTTACTGCAAATAGTAAAAGAAAGCTATGACGTACAATCTGCAAATCATAAAGCAGGGAGCAAGGGGAAGTAATCTCACAAAAGTCAGATGAATCCACGTGTAATTTATGAGAAAACTTCCTGATTTGTTGCTGTTCGCACTCACACACCCGCTGACTGCGCAGCGACATGTTTAAACTTGCAGTGTTAAACCACCAACATGTACCAGTACTCAAATTCAGCATGATTCTCTAAATCAGCTTTCCCAACCCTGATTGTCTGGATCGATTCACCTGCGCATTGAATTACTTGCTGAACAGGTCATCAGGATAACCAAAGGATTGTTAGTAATCTATCGGCTTAAATCAAATGTGTTGTAGTGAGGGGAAGAGTCTATCCTAAGGACTAAGACACAAAACCCAGTGGACGGTTGACCCTCACTCCTCAGTGCCAATATTGTTGTTATGTAGGATGTCCTCAGAATTTCAGTGGATCTTAACTAGTTTACAAAACAAACCCGTCCAGTTTATATGCAGAAATATATACTCAAATTAATCAAATTACATAGACAGATTTAGGTCCCAAAAATTTAAATTTCATTTTAGTCATACAAAATTACAAACAAGTTCAATTTATTTTGCAGTGGGTAAAAAGCTTTCTAAGAAACCGCGGCCTATTGCATCATGTCTGACTTTGTAGCAATTTCTCCTCCTAAATGAGCATATGATGACAGCTGACACTTAACTGCATCAGGTCTTCGTAGCTTGTACCAAGACTTAAGAATGAGCATGAATGTGGCAACAGTGGAAAGAAAAACTCTAATTTTGTTTCCCTGTTTGGTACAAAAAACATCCCTGAATTTCTGCTTTTACTGATTTGCACACTTCACATTTTCTGAGGTAGAGGGAGGTTGCTCCATATCTACACAAATACATCTAGGTTCACATATTTGTGCCTAATTTATTTGCAAGCTGATTTTTTTTCAGAACCCAAAGCCAAAAAATATATAAGAAAGCATACCTAATCTAAATTACCCTTAATATATGTTGTATGTTATTCAATTAGTTTGATTTAATAAGTAATATGCCATTTATATCATGATTTGATTCCTTTGAAGAGCGGTTTAAAGCAACTCTTGCCAAACTGACTTTGTCAAAGCAAGTAAAGTAATCCCACTAAAAATAATTTGATGCTTATAATGACTGAAACATCAACATCAAGGCATTACACTCCTTCACATAGGGCTTTGCTATGCAATAAAATTATATTCAAATCAACAGCATTTTGTAAGTCCTATAGTTTGGGAGCCAACTGTCCTGGGTTTGGTCAAAAGAGATAATCATGAAATGACTTGCTCTGGAAGAACGGGAAATGTGTTCTGGATTACAGGAAGTGACCAAAAACAGAGTTAAGAGCTTTGCTCCCTTAACTGATAAGAGAAAAGGAAGTGATATTTGAGCAATGGCACATACTGGGTTTTCATCCTTCTCAAATAAACAAACAGGACAGAGGGGTGTGTAAAACAAGACAGTCAGTCAGGATATGATGTGAACCAAGGGCAGAGAGGTGGGAGGGTTTACACAGTCAGGAATGTGGAAGTGGATACACAAGGATTGATTGGGAGGGTCGTGCCGGGAAAAGCTCAGGGTGGAAACAGACTGGATGCCAGAGTCTTTTACATTCTGAAAAGCTTTGAAACTCCTTAAAAAGTCATGGTTCACATAATGCTCACAGTAACTTTGTCTGGTTTTCCAAAAGAGGAACTTTCATCTGTTTCCATTTCGCATAACCTTTCCTGGACTTTCCGTTACTGGTTTGCTTTTCTTTCACAGAGGCCACAGAAAACTGGCAGGCATGAAATTGCAGTCTTGAATAAAACCAGAATTACAGACAACCAAGTATAGCTTAGATGTGCTTTACATAAAACAAGCATTGAAATTGAAACATTAACTATTTCACTATTTCCTTTAGAAATGGATATGATACATGTCAATGTTTCTTTTCTTTTCCACAAGAGAGCAGTTAACAGTTTTGCTTTTTTTCATATTCATTAATTAAGGAGCCCAATCTTTAAAGGTATCTGCTTATTGCCCCCTAGCTCAAAAATAAATAAAAAACAAAGCAACCAGCCAGACTTCTCTGCAAAATCAATAATATTAACCTGAGATAGCTTTTCCACGATAAAACAATGTGTGCCATTTATTTTTTTTCTATTTTGTTGGTATTTATGTATGACACTAATTTCAACACACTTTGGTACTTATTTTCAGTTTGCCTTCATTCCCAAGGATGCCTTTGGGTGGAGGAAATAAATGTGGCCGCTGTTCGAAGACAGTTTACTTTGCAGAGGAAGTCCTGTGTGACAAACGGAGCTTTCACAAGTCCTGCTTCCTGTGCAGTAAATACACCATTTATTTTCTCTCATTGTACTTATGGAAACCACAAGGTTGATTCCCTTATGTATTTAATTATATCATTATTTTTGTGATGTGCAAGTCACTTCTCAAAATTCTAAATCCTTAAAAAAAAAAAAAATTAAAGCATGTATTTTTGTCTTTTGGTCTCGCGTAATGATATTAAACTTTAGATTTCAATCTGCAGTAGCAAAATCAGCCCATCGGTGACGGTTCATGACCTTCAGATGATATTTGCAATATTTGTGTTCCCACTTTGTTATCAGGCATTCCTGCAATGCCTCTTCAGAAACGCTGGGCCATATAAGGAAGAAGTCAGGGGCCTGTCTAAACACATTTAAAACACACAAATATGCAAAACAATAATATATGCATTTCTGCCTGTCTGTGAATGTTATTATTTGTGTAGTGGTGTGTGGGAAGAACTTGGACAGCACAACTGTCGCGGTCCATATGGATGAAGTCTACTGCAAAGCATGCTACGGCAAGAAGTATGGGCCAAAAGGCTATGGGTATGGCCAGGGTGCTGGGACCCTTAGCATGGACAAAGGAGAATCATTGGGTATTACACATGAAACGTGAGTAATGCACATGTTAAATTCTGGATGTCTGCTTTAGGCTCTTCATCAACAGTTTTTTTTTTTTTTGTCCTCTTTTTCCATCAGACCTGCCCCACATCATCCGACCACAAACGCAAACCCCTCCAAGATGGCTCAGAAGTTCGGAGGGTCAGACAAGTGCCCCCGCTGTGGCAAGGCTGTTTATGCTGCTGAGAAAGTGATCGGAGCGGGGAGTGTAAGAAAACCGCACGTATGCAGAAACATTCAAGTAATGACTGTTATCATATTAATGACCTTCCTCTTTCCAGTCCTGGCATAAGATTGGGTGTTTCACCTGTGCCACATGTGGGAAAAGCCTGGAGTCAACCACACTAGCTGACAAGGATGGAGAAATCTACTGTAAAGGTAAAATCCATGTCTCCGACAAAAATTAGGAAATACAATTACAAAGCTTTAAACTCCCTCCTCAGCCATACTTGTGTAAAAAAAAAAAAAAAATACCGTATATTGGAATTGAAGGAAGACTTCTTTCGGACAATTCAAGAGTGAATCGATGTTTTGAACATTTTTGTTTTTACTATCAAAAGCAATGTTCACAGAATATCAAAGGCAACATGAGGCAGATTTACGCCTTACCTTTGAATACAACCTATTTACAAGCTCAGAGATTACATAAAAGAAAACAAATTTTGTGAAAAGAAGAAAAAGAAAAATGACTTGTCATGAAGAATGACACATAAGACTGTCCTTCATGGTGTACCTCAGTGCTTTAGGTTTTATTCACAATAGTAAAGAAGGAAATAAATAAATAAATAGTAAAGAGAGAAAATTCATCCTCTGGTTTAAACCAAAGCTGAATCAATTTAAAAATTTGTGGTGTGACCTGAAAATTGCTACACAGAAGTGATACACACAAATTGTGGCTGATTTGTTGTCCATTTAAAAAAATAATACATATTTTGTCTATGATGAACATTTAAACACAAAGACTGAGCCCCGCCTTCATGAGAAAAGTTGCTTTAACGAGACAGAAAATTTAGGGCTTTCACATATATTTTCACAACATGCGACCAACTTTGTTCTATAAGTAGGTTATTGCAGTACTATGGCAGAAAATATCAAAAAATACCAACTTGGTTGAGTTTTAGTCTATTTTTTTTTTATTTTCTAAAAGCATGGTTACAGAGGCTACCTTCAGTACGAGAGACTGAATTTTGAACTCATATAAGTAATCTTGAATTTATAACACTGAATTTTTTTTCCTGTGCAATTATGTATATGATTTTTGAATTGAATAAATTTCACCTTCAAATGATATGTCGACCTTCTGGCGACCTAAGCCAAAGAAATCAGCACTAAATTGAGCTCAGTTTTTTTTTTGTTGTTGTTTTTTTGGCTAATTATGTTCCTTTGCTCAATTTGACACCACACAAAGTGGAAAAAAGTCATATGTGTAATTTGCATGGGACAAAAAATCAGGGTAACAGAGTGCAATGTCTCAGAATCTCGGTGAGATTCTAATGAGACTATGTTTTTTCCATGGCAGCAGCCTGAGAAATCCAACAATTAAAGTCAAACATTGCCAAGAGCAATATAAATATTGTCTCGTTATGAAGATCCCTACCAAAGGATAACTATATATGCAAACATTGTCACATTCCATTGTTTTCTTTGAGTTGTAATGACAACAATAAAACAGCAGGGGGCTCATTGAGGTTACGGTTCCTGTCTCATTTAGTGACATAGAAAAAATGTTGGGGGACCTATTTTTATACTCTGTGTTTTCATTTCCTTATAACTGAAACCTCATTGAAAATGGCCGCTCTCCCCAGTTCAGTTAAAACATCCCAGAAATCTAAATTTTAAAAATTGCTTTATTTTCACCGAGCACCAATAACAGTGCCAAAGTCTATTTTTTTTTACCCCAAGGGAAGAATAAAACATTCATAATTGTTTTTGTTTCTCCTCTGATTGTTACTCAAATTATAATTTAATTTACTGTGATGCTTTTAAACCCATCTTCACCAGCGGCGCCAATAAATACACAAAAATCAAAGACAATAGTCTGAGCCTTCAGTCAGTGAACTGAAATTGACACTGATCGAGTGTAAACCGACGACACTCTCTTTTTTATTGTTTGTTTGTTTCGAACAGGCTGCTACGGCAAAAACTTTGGCCCCAAGGGATTTGGGTATGGACTAGGAGCCGGAGCGCTGGCCCACACCCAGTGAGATCCGAGTCACGTCTCCATTATACCGAGCTGCTTTACAGAAGCACAGGGCAGGTTGCATAAAAAAATAACTCCAAAAATCACCATCAAACATAAAGAATGCAAATGCTTTTTAATCCTATGCCTTGTTTTTTTTTTTTTTTGTTTGTTTGTTTGTTGTTGTTGTTGTTTTTTTGTCTCGCCTGTAATACAAACTTATCGACAACTTTTTGACCCTGAAAGAAAATGAGCTTGAGTAGGACCAAAGATTTAGTCTTGGAAAGGGCCTATGTTGTTTATGCACGCACCTTATAGTTATTCAGTCATACATTAGCTGTACAGTTATTGAACTCATGCTTTGAATTACCTTTGGATCAAAGTGACATGTTTGGTTTTTCAAGAATAATCAGAAATCGAATGCTGGAAAATCCTCGTTTGTGTGCATGTTATACTTCAAAAGGAAACACAAACACAGCTTATCATTATATGCACGGGAATACAAATGAAGCAGCCAGGACGCTTTTGCGTTTTAACGAAATGCTTTCTGCGCATTTAATCTGTCATGACACTCCTCATTCTCAGATGATCTCATGAGATAAATCCTGTATGTTGTCAAAATGAGAGAATAGCAATACTGCCAGAATGTGGGGAATGTCAGAAAGAACCAGTAATTATCTGTTTGTTTGTTTTTTTAAATGTTTTTTTACAGTAGCTATTCAAAAGTGTGTTTACTTTGTGACATGAACCACATGCAATAAAGCAACTTTATATTAAAGATGTGTTGTGTTTTGCTGTTCCCATTTTTGAAAGAGGTTTTCTAAAACGTAAACGACGCGCATCCCATTTAAACATGTTTCGTCCAGTCTCGTCTCGAATCCAAAACAGTTTCAAGAGTCCCGCTCGCATTCCTGTCCGTATTCCTGCCCGGTGTAAGACAGTGAGTCGGTTCCGTCGAGCAGCACGCTGAATGGACGCATTCCACGCTTCATACTCGCGTTACCATCAACCGAGCTGTTTTCCGGAAGGGAAGGGGAAGCGGCGTGACGAGTCCACGCGCCGCCCGAGCAACTGTTCTTTCATTCACAACAACTCCCTCGCGCGCGCACATCGCTCCGGGGTGAGTTTGAGAAAACAGCCCGGATCTCCTCTTCCCGTCAGCAGCGGCGAGGAGGCGGGGTGCTGGAGCTGTCGTGGGTGAAGGTCCACAGAGGAGCCCGGACATGTCCGGACACATCTGGGCAGACCAGCCAGCCAACCTCCACGCGCGGTGAGCTGACACTACGTATAGGGCTTGAGCGGAAGGTTGTTTGTGTGACGCCCCTATGTTTTTGTGAGGAGCTTTAAAACCGACGTGAATGCATTCATCCGCTGAAGACTAGACGCCGCGAGTCTCTTCGTGCGGTTTCGGTCATGTCCGTCCCGGTGAAAGTGATAAGAGACGGGCTGCTGGAGAAGCGCAGCAGCGGGCTTCTCCAGCTGTGGAAGAAGAAGCGCTGCGTCCTCACGGAGGACGGGCTCCGCCTGCTCAGCTGCAAAGGCAGAGGCAGTGATGCTCCGGGGTCGGCGTGGGGCTCCGGGGCCAAGGAGCTGCGCTTTGAACGCATGGAAACGGTGGAGTGCGTGGAGTACAAGCGAGAGATGGTCTACTTCACGGTGGTCATGGCGAAAGGGAAGGAAATAGACTTTCGGTGCGCGCAGGAGGGCACGCTGTGGAACGCGGAGATCGCCTTGGCGCTGGTCCGATACAAGAACCAGCAGGCCCTGCGGACCGGGAGGACCCGGTACCTGTACACGGCGCCCTTAGGCAGCACCGGAGAGGATGAAGTGCTCTGACCGGAAGGTAAGAACAACACCGGTGAAGGTCAACAGACTGGTAGGAGCAGTCTTTTAATTGGACGTCATCATTATTTTGTTTTCCATGATGCACAAGAGTGTTGCCTGTGGTGAAAGCTGTGATAGGATTTACATTTTGGTTTGATCTTTACGTCAAAAAGCAAAATTTGGCTTGAGTTGGAATCCACGTGTTGTCACAGCTTTAGTTTTTAAGTGACTCTTAATGAAATGGGGGCCCCATTAGAAACACACAATGTCAATGTGTTGGCCCTTCTTCATGTAACTGAACAGTGGTTCACAGCGACAGCTGGAGCAATAGGCAGTTCCACCTCACTCTGTCTTCCATACAGCTGGAAGACAGTTTTCCTGTCTTTTTTGTCTTTTTTTTTTTTTTGGAAGGTAAAATCAGCAGAAGAGATGTGAATAAAAATGTAAAGTTATCGAACTTGTGATTCTTAATCGTGTGAACACAGTCAGGGCTGTACATAATTATTTATTTTCGTCTCTTACATTTTTCATCCAGGGAAATGTTTGATAAGGAATTTCGAAAGTAATATTCTACGGTATGTGCCCAGTTATGAGGGATATTTAAAATATGTGTTAATCCATGAGCTACTCATTAAGGTGTGTCATACGTGTATCATTACGTCATCACACCCACTCATGGTCAAAGAGTTCCTTTCATCAGAAACTGTTGAATCAAAGTCTCACCCCCTTCCTAATACCTGACATGGTTATGTAAATGCACCACTCCAGGGTTTCCATGCTCTTGTCACTCCCAGTCCCAGATCTCAGTGTTTCTTTACTATGGTCATCAGTCTTCTGATGACACAAACCACTCTCACTCCAGGACATAATTACGATGCAATGCAAGACTCCAGAATAACATCTGCTTGCCTCTCCCTCAGCAGGCAGTGGGGTATTTTTAAACATACACACTGAGACACACAGTCACACAATTTCTTTTATGCTTACAAAGAAAAATGTAGGCAAAAACTATGCACTGTTTTTGTTTGTTTGTTTGTTTGTTTTCCAGTTTTCAACATTCATGTCACATTGTAGTTATATACTGAAACCAGTGCTGGAACGTCAAGTGAACCGAGAGTCTGAAAGTCTGAACTATGAGCTCACAGATCAGGAATCCACAGCAACGCTTCCTTAAGCGAGCTTGCTGGAGCCAAGCGCCCAAATTAACCGTGTAGCTGTGGTAACAGTGTAAAATAAGTGAGCTTACGCTTGCAGATCATCAGTTGCCTGAATGCTAAAGATATAATTTAAGTAATGAATATTAAAAATATTTGTTTTTTTTTCTCTCTTTTTCAGGCTCCCCACCTCCTCAGTTTGGGACTAATGGAAGGTGAGGAGGGATTCCCACATTTTCTGTTTTGTTTCTTTTCTGCACAGCATCATGGGATGTGAGGAAAACCCAACGGTGACGATGGATAACCGGACCAGGAACACGTACGCTGTTTGAAGTTTTTACTGGGATGGCAACTTTTGTTCATCATAAATGAACCATTCAGAGACTTATGGAAGATTTAAAAAACATTAGAAACTGTTAAACTTGAAAATAGTTCACCCTTTGTGCCTTCTTGATTCAAAAATACTACTTAAAGCATCATTTTAAAGGATTTTGACTAGACTTAACTCATTCATGAAGCTTAACATGAAGAATATTTTTCTTCCCTGAATTCTTTGGAAGATTCTCTTAAGTGTGTTTTCTGATGTGATGCACAGTATTACAAATATGTAAATAAATTCATTCTTACGCATTTTCTCTTACATGTATTTCTTTACAGGTCCATTGTTGAAATTACTCCTTTTTAAAGAATTGACACTGATAAATAACCTGATTTTTTTTTCCAATTTTACTGTGATCCATATCTTGGCTGGTTCAACTTACAAACAAAACATATTATTTTGATCAAATTAAATCAGCACTATTTGATTTAATTTTAGCATTCACTCTCCAGTTGTGTTAACTCGGGTAGGAGTCCACACAATTGCCATTTTTTAACTTAAAATTAGATTTAGTGACTGTCTGCTTATCGTTTTGCATAATGGATCTAAACGTTCCAGATTGGTTTCTTCAGATGACAACACATTCTCCCACAATGTTTTGGGAGATTTTGTTTTTTTTCTGTGGAAAAGAATACAGCGGTTTTGCAACTCTCCTCCCTTATCCTAGACATAGAAAACACAGGAGGTTGTTGCACTTGTTGGAAATAACTGCAGCTCCTTCCGTATTTCTGTATTCTTGTCGTCCTCCCTGACCAGTTTCAGTTTTGGAAAAACACTCTTTTTTAATTTAGTTCAGTCTCATATTTCACCAATCAATGATTACTATGTTCACAACACCATAGTTTTAAGAAACATCTGTGGTCTTCTGATCACTGGTAATTTTCTGCTGTAAGATCATTTGTAACTTCTTATGTCCCTGGCGAAAGGATGTAAAGGTCAGAAAAATCCTACCAGGATGAATAAACTTCTCCCCAATATCATTAGATTAATTCTTGTTCCAGTTTTTTATTTTTTGTCTTAAAACCTTGTGATTGTAACATGGATGTTCACACTGTCAAGAGTCACCGTGTGTACATCTGGACAGAAATCTCTTTATGCTAAACAAAAACTGCAGCTCACTTTATGGTCACATCACTCGTTTCAAAGCGCATTTGTTTTCGGTTGAGCAATAACTTTGCCTCCAGAAAACTCCCCGCATTTGTCCACACACACAACAATGTGGATCGTGGAGTTGCATGTCTGTCGGAGTGAGGACACCTTTTCTTCAGAGCCGTGTGCAGGACTAATGAGGAGCAGTGTGAGCCAGAGGCATGTGCATGCAAACATCCACCCACACAATATTCACCTACAATAGCACACCCAAAATGAAATTCAGCGAGGCCCAAGCGCTCGTAGACTGTTGTTTGCAAGACAGACTTTCATTGTTTCTTTAAGGGTTGCTACGCATGTGGGATTTAGTCGAGAAGTTTTGAAGTTTGTGTGCGTGTGTCTGTGTTTTCTCCGGGAATAAAGGCTTGGCTGTCTTGTGACTACTCCTGTGACTGTGGAAAACCCCGATGCAAGCCATCCCACATGCGTCAGTGGTAGATGGAGAGCAGCATGAGAAGCAGGGAGACACCCACCTATGGATCTTTGTACCAAACCACATGTGCAGTGGGGCTGATTTAGAGGCAGGTATAAATACTCACAAAGATGTCAGGGAGGCTTTCATAAATGCTCAGTGGGGCCTGTTTATAGTACTTTCTAGAAGTAGTAACCATGTGTGAGAATGTGTACTTTCAGGTTATTGTGAAATTTCTAAAGACCTTACTATGGTTTGCTTGCTTTGCTGAGTTCAAAATTTGCACTAACATGCAATTACATAAAGGAAGTCATCAAGTTAAACTCAGGGGTGAGAAGTAACTGGTTATATTTACAACTGGCTAAAAATATACATAGGAGTTGTTATCCAGCACTGTACTTTATACTTTTGCTTGAGTAACATGCTTAACTTCCCTGAATGAAGAACGTTGTTTTAACCAAAACAGCCTTTAATATACCAGATTTATTAAAGGCTTTTTTTCTGTCCACAGGTTGTGATTGTGAATGTTGTGATGATTAGTACTTGAGAAACCTGTTCACCAAATACCTTTTTACTCTACTCAGCTTTTACCTTTTACTTTACAGCAGAAAATTGTCAACTATGTCAAAAAGTTTGATTGCATAGGATTGCACTTTAAAAATGAGCCTGTGTTACGCTGTTTGACCACTAGAGGTCAGTCTCTCCTTTATGAAATTGATCAACTTCTTTCATGTGCACTACGAAAGAAGTGTGGAGCAAAAATGATTTGCTCCTCATTAGATTACTTTGTATCTGGATATCAGACATTGACCTGGATAAATACAAAAAGCTGTTTTGGATGTCAGCTATATGATCGGAAGAATTGTGCTTCTGTTTTTTTGAAGAACCCACTTTTTTCAACGACTGGTGAGGTTTTCGGCATGAGCAGCTTGTTTAAGGTCACACCGCAACATCTTAGTCAAACTTACACTCCAAAACCTTTATTTATTTTATCAGCACCCATACCTTACAACGCTGGCCAAGAATGGACTCAGCAGGTTCAGACTCCTTGTTAAATGTGTTGGATGCTCAGTGGATAAAAATCCACCAACAGCGGTGTAAGTCTAGGTGTCTCTTGGCTGCGCCCACTATGCTGGAATTTTTCAAAATTGGTCAGGGGCCAGGTTTAGCTTTCAGAGGGCTTAGTTACACTTTAAAAAGTCAGAGGCGTATTTCTAAGGATCAAATCGGAAAGTCAAATTTCTGTTGAGTTATGTATCTACTGCAATTTCATAGCAACTGAAGGCAAAGTACTTACTTGATTCTCCTATGCAGTGAAACTATTTACCTGGAAAATGCATAAGACAGCCCCTTTAAAGTATTACTAAATTTGATTTCAAATTTTTGCGGGGACCCTAAAGAGAAACAAGACAAGTTTTTCATGCTCACCAGATAATTTTCATTCACATGAGATAGTGTGTGACGCACAAAAGAAATCATCAGGTGAGCACATTTATGTTTTTTACACTTTTCCTTCAATGTCCCATAAGGGGTCTCTTATGTATCTGAGTCCCCTATTCCTATACATAACAACTTTGGCAATTATTTTATCATGAAAATAATTGTTAAGATGCAATCTTATTCCAAGTGCATTAAAAGACATTTCATCCAATTGTGGGATGTGAGGCTATTTGTCTGTGAGAGACAAATAGACTGAACAATATTGTCCTGATCGAGAAATGGTCCTACCTAATAATAGCCTCCACTGGAAAAAAAAAGAAAGAGGGTGCTGGATAATGGGTGGCACAGTTAAATAGAGGGGTACAGGGGACTGGGCTCATCTCTGATTTGTCCGTCCTTCGTCTGTCACATGTGCTGCTCTTTTCGTCTGTCTTAGACACAGGTAAGGCCTCTCTAATTTGTTCTAAGAAATTTTTAGGTACATTGTTAGTCTGAATGCACACATTTGACGGTATACGAAAACTGTAAATGTGAGAAGCTGGCATCTTACTTACAGATTGGTACATTGTTTTTTTTTTGTTTTTTTTTCTTGTTTGTGATTTATATTTCCTCATGTCTTTTAATCTAGTTTCTGTCTTGCTGTGGTTTCTTGTAAACACTTATAAACAACAGAGCTGTATTTGACTGGACATTAAAGTAATGTTTAACTGAATCAGATTTAAATTAAAGATTTATTTATTTATTTCAAGATGTAAATTTTTGTTTTGCTTTGCCAAACTGACTGCATCACAGAGGCTCGTGAGCCTCCATGAATTGCCAATAGTGAACTCTTGATCCAGGCTGAGCAGCTCAGCTCCTCTCCACAGTTGTCTGGTCTATTTGGGGAGATGGTCCAGTCCAGTCCAAATTCCTCTGTTACAGATAATCCTGAGGAGAAAGATGGGGATGAACAATACAAGAGGAGACATCAGGGAGGGTTTACGCTCTGGAATGTTCCTAATCCAGTGGAACAGATTGTATCCCTCGTAAACCAAAAAGCCTTGTGCGGTGCCATTCATAACAGAGATTAAATAAAAATGGTGAGGGAATGTTGATACAGGGGGGGAACAGAGATAGTGGGTGAGTGCTTCATAGCTCTGTGGATAAAGAGCAGAAGCTTGTAATACTGAGGGGAAGGGAAAATATCCTTCACCCAAGAACTGAAAATCATCAGTTCTGAGAATTCCTAGAAAAGACCTACAGGACTGATTTATCTAGCGGCGACAGACAGGAGAATTATCATGTTAGAGCAGTAGCTTGGACACTTAGCAAAAATACCATTCTGCTGGAAGCTTTAAAGCTGCGTCATATGATCAGCCTTTAATTCACTCCAATGACATTATTTGTGGGAAAAAAATGCTATTCCAATCAAAACAATTGTGGTATTGATGAGCTCGATAAAAGAACGGTAAGTTGCAACTCGACTGTACTCAACCGCAGTAGCTAAAATTTATTTAAGGACATTTTTCTCATTTGGTTTGAAACAAAATTTAAAATGTGATTTTGTTTAAAAGGTTACTGACCTAGCAATAAACTTTTAAAAATATAACCCTTGACAAACTAACTAAATTGTAGTGTTGATCGGCAAATTGTGTTGGAAACAAGTTGGAATTTAGTTCATGCCAACCTTACATTGTTTCTCCAACACATACATGTTGTAAACCACAAGTCCTGCACCAGCTCTTAACTTTGATTCAATTAATATATTCATTCATAAAATAATTTAGATAAACATGTTAGTGTTATTATTTCCTGATGGACAAGAAATGAAATGAATGGGAACAATTGGTAAACGTAACCATTGCTAGTTGTTAATATTATTCAAATAAAGCCATCACTGAGCGCTACACTCACAAATAGAGGTGCGAAAATTTGATTTTATTTATTAAAAGTTAATAAATTTTTATTATTATTTGCAAAGTGATATTTTGCAGTAATGTTTGATATTTCAATACCAAACAGAGCATTGAACAGTCAGAGTTCCTGTTTAAGCCCCTACTCCACAATCAAGCATGAAGACTGTAGACAGATGAGAAAGTCCATCAAAGGCTGAGAGACAAACACTGACAACTGCTATGTTTCTAATCTCTTCTACTTCTCATCCAGAGAGACCTCATCAGCAGGATGCCTGAGCATGTGTGAGTGATTAAACTTCGCTTTCCCTTTATAGACCATTGATTCAGTCACAAACAAAAAAATGTTGCTGCTTTACTCTGAGTTTGCTGTTAAATTGTTCCCCCATCTTCCTTTACAGACAAGAGGTAAGACTATTTCTTAACCAAGGAAAGATTTAAATGAGAATGCCTCGGTGAAAGTGGCATACATGTACTGATAATCTCCTGCCCATGCAGAGAAAATCCAAAATATCAGCCTCAAGGAAGCTGATGTTGAAGGTAAGAAACATCACTGTTAAATGTTATATTCTGTTTTATGTAATGTAGGCATTTGACCACAAGAGAGCAATAGGAATGGATGAATGCCATGTATTCCTCTTCTATAGCTGGCCGAAAGGTTAGGGGGTGGAGACATACAGTGCAAAACAGTGAACAAACACATATAAACACACATATAAAGGAATTACTCAATCTTTCACAATTTTAAACTGTCAGTGGATATAAAACTTTCCAAAGAAAACCCAGGTGCACACTCCATGAGCAAAACCGCAAGAGAACTTCAATCTCTCTTGCTGTAAGATGCTTTCAGCCACACCTGCATGGCAGCACTGGACCACAAGAATCATAACAACAAATGATTTAATATTTTTAATACTTTCATTTAAATTGAATCAAGAGTTGCTAAGAGAGAATTGTTTGTCCAGAGCCTGATGGTGGCAAAGGCCAAGGAGGAACTGGAGCAGGAGATTCTTGTCAAAGAAGAAGAAAAACAGAAGTACCTTGCAGAGAAAGCGCCTCCTCTGAACACCGGTGGTTTCAGTCTTGCTCAACTTCAGGTTCTAATCCACAAAATATACTTTCTTCCTATATGTTATAAAAGACTCCAAACCAGTCAACATGTGAAATCCTTTGAAATATGTGTGTATTGTGTGTAGGATCTCTGCAGAGAGCTCCACGCAAAGATCGATGTGGTTGATGAGGAACGATATGACATTGAGGCCAAAGTCATGCTTAACACACGCGAGGTGGGTTAACAGTAACAATCATGCTCATCTTTAGTCATACAGGTAACCATATGATGGTGCAACCACACGACAGCACCTTGCAGCTGGCCGACTACGTATCTCTCAATTCTCTCTCCCTGGATCAGATTAAAGACCTCAACATCAAAGTTCTAGACCTCAGGGGGAAATTCAAGAGGCCTAATCTTAGACGAGTCCGTGTCTCTGCTGACGCCATCCTTCGCTCACTGCTGGGCTCCAAGCACAAAGTGTCCATGGATCTTCGAGCTAATCTCAAGTCAGTCAAGAAAGAAGACACTGAGAAGGTGGGCTTAGAAAGACAACACTTCACAAACAGGCAATCAACGCAGCCCAAGAAAGATGAAAAACTTTCCTCAAGGTTCCGGTTTGTGACATTTATGAGATCGGTCTTCAGTGTGCCATGAAGAACCTGAACTGTGTGTTTATGTGTGTGTAAAAGGTGTGTTTGAGTAATCCAATAGTTGGCCAGTGCAGGGTGGAGGTATGGTACATGATACAAAGATCCGATTGTACACTTTTGTCAGTGATTCTGCTCGTGGACACCATTTGTCAGTGAGTGTGTACGTCTTTGGATTAGTCTGTTTAGGTGTGTCCCTGTGTCTGTGTGTCTGTGTGTTTGCACTGATCCGTGAATCTCTGTGAGCAATACATCAGAAACCAGTTCTACAAGTACGGTTAAACGCTCTTCTCTATGGGGATTTCCGTTTTATAGAACAGGTCCCAAAGGCTTAGCAAACGATGAGGTTTCCTAATGCTGGTCATCTCCACACAGTCAACAAAAGAATCTTGCACTGGGTGTTTTGTAGACTTTCTTACATCATCTATTTGCTCATCTATCCGCAGAAGAGGCCAGTGGAGGACAGCGACTGGAGGAAGAATGTGGAGGCCATGTCTGGGATGGAGGGAAGGAAGAAAATGTTTGATGCTGCTAAAGGTTCTGCTCAGTGAAGACAGAGCAGAACCTGTCTTCTTAATGGCTGTTGTTGCTCTGCTGCTGTTTTGTGTTGCCTATTTTGTCTCCTTCTATCCACTCATCAAGGTTTTGCTTTTGATTTGCATTTTGCTTTGTTTTTATTTTTTCCTGCAATGGAAACTTTTCAACAAATATTTCTAAAAATGAAATAAAAATTGTGTTTTTGAAAATGTGCACCACACTCAAATGAAGCGAGTGATCATGCAAATTGAACCGCGTGCTTGATGTGGCGTCTTCAAAACTATATCTATCTGCGGTGGGTTTGTGACCTGTAATGCAATGTTTTAAAGGAATAAAAAAAAGTACACAAATGTGCTCTATTCAACATGGAATTTTTGAACAGTTACTGTGTTTATTTGTCGCCTTCATGTGCATTGCCTTCAGTTTTTTTCATAAATTTCTCAAATTGAATTGTAAAATATCTGCGAAAATTAAAAATGCACACATACTTCTGATGTTGAACAGTGAAAGATAAAATTTATAAACTCAAAATAAAGGATATAGTAACATATTCATAAAAAAATTTATATCTTATCAAAATTTATTCAAATAACAAATATTAGAATTTCATTATCGTAAAAACATCAAAGATATACAGTATTTATATAAGTAAGTAGATACGTACTTAACTCTTGTTTGCTTTGCATGTCCATAAAAGACAAAACTGTCCTTTCATCCTTTTTGAACACTTTATCTGGTTGAATGCAAATGCAAAATGTTGCTACTTGGAAATAAATAGATTTTCATCCAACTTATTTTCTAGTAGAGCTTTACTGATGACAAATATATTTCAAACTCTGGGCCAACGAACTCTTCAGACCATACAGGAGTGCAACCACGCAAAGGTCAAATGTCAAGACTCAAAAACACACTGAAGAATGACATGCAAAACAGCGCTACTAGATAGCATCTCACTTTTCATGCAGACTCTTCTTTATAGGTGTGGGAAACAGGTTTATGTTTGCACAAGTGCACAGAACAAACCAAAGACTCTAGACTTTAGGTGGTTAAGACGTCAGCAGGTTTATTTCAAACTCTTCACCTTTATGAAAGTTGCAAGGTTAGAGGTGAACTATTTGAGTTCAGATAAGGTGGGCAGATGTGTGTGTGTGTGTGTGTGTGGGGGGTGTGTGTGCGTGCGTGCGTGTGTGTGGGTGTGTGTGTGTGTGTGTGTGTGTGTGTGTGTGTGTGTGCGGGTGCGTGTGTGTGTGTGTCTTGCTTTCTCTCTCTCTCTCAGACTGTGCCTGGGTCAGAGTCCGACAACAGAGGAAGGTGTGGTCTCCGCCAGCAAGGCAAAGAGTCTCGCTAACAGTGTGAAAAGCCTCGCTGCCAGTTACAAAAACATAGTAGTTAATACAGTAATAACGTTGCTACACACATTAATACACATGCATATAGAGAAGCTGAGTCAACGACGTTGTTTTGCCACTCGTGCGCATTGTTAGCCAGACTTTGGCTCGCATGTTTTGCTTCTGTCGTTGTGTTTCTTGTTCAAGTTTTTTGTTTTAAATAGTTTAAAACTCTTTTCTTTTTTGGTCAACATCTAAGAAAAGCCTTGTAGTTAACTTGGTGTAAATGATATACCTGAAATCTAATACATGTTTATTAGTAGTAATTATTATTAGTAATAATAATAATAATAATGACGAGAAAGCAAGCCACAGCCACACTTTCACCATACAAGGAGAGGAGAGGCTCCCTCCCTCCCTTCTCTGTCAGGTGGAAGGCTCACCTCTGTGGTCATGTGATACCTCCAGGAGCTGCACCTGGCTAAAGGTGGACTGCTTTGTGCCTCACCGACTCCAATTTTACTCCCTCAGTCGGAGAGCTTGGCTGTTCACTTTTTCCCCCACCGTCTGCGAGTGAAATTGGAATATTGTCATAATTTTCTTCTAACATGTCTATCAGTCGGAAAAACTGGTCAGCTCTGTCCAGGTAAGATTAACTCTGGCTTTTCTGTAAAGGGGACAATGACACCTGTTGTTGTGTGGTGTCAGTGACACTTTACACACTTTCATTTTAAGATAAAGCTTTGGCTTCACTCTGAACAAGAAGACTGGATCTTAGCTATCTAGATCAACTTTTCAAAAAAAAAAAGAGATGAATTATTTCCATGTCTTACTGTTTTAAGTCTTCAGAAAATCCTTATTTGCATTTGAATTGCAGGAACATCACCCTCGTGGTGATCTATGCTTTGCTTTGGCACTTACGCTAAAGTTGTTGATAAATTTCCCTAGAGAACTGTGAAGCCTGAACAAGTAGAACAGGTCCTGGGTAACGGTTATTTCTACTGTTATCTCTGCTGCCCATGAAACCAAAACAGATAGATCGGCTTTGCCAATAATTTCTCCACATGCCTTCAAAGTATTCGTCTCTTTGTCTCATAATCGCTTTTGTATTTGGCAACTATTTCTCTCGCGTACATCCTCATTCAGCCTCGCTCGTCAGTGGACAATGGAGGATGAGGAGGAAGTGGAGAGAGAGAGGAGGAGGAGGGTGAAGAGCAGCAGCACGCCCGACCAAGATGGGGACTCCAGCCCCACACCCAGAATGCCACCAAGAAGTGGAGGCACCTCTGGGACCGAATCTTCCACTGAGACATCTCAAAGCCTCAGCAGGTTAACTTTGTTTTATTCATGTATATATAGCGGAGCAGCAAAAAAAAAAAAAGGAAAAAGATTATTTATAGGCTTTCGAATCCCTTTCCCAATCTTGGGATTGATTTATTACATGCAGTGACTAGAGTACTCAAAGTTTGCCTTTCTGGATTGTTATCTGAATACTTTGAAAACACACAAACACACATGCAACGTATGAAAAGCTTCCAAGCACACTAGCAACTTAGTCTCTGGAGCGCAAGCAGTCTTCAAAGAGAGAGAAACGACTAAACAGGCCTTTGTAATAGAAACCTGACCGGACACCGAGCCTACAGATCTTTTCAAAGCTCTCTCCAGAAGCCGTCCGATCATAAAGGTGTGTGTGATGTTTTTTATCTCAGTGTTGAGCAGATACAGCTGGACTTTGTAGAGATGCTGCGGACGCGTGATGAAAAAAGGAGGATGAGGCAAGTGGAGGTACTAAGGCGGCAGAAAGAGGAAGAGGAGGGTGATTCAAAGGAAGGCAGAGGAGAAGAAGACGCAAGGGTGGTCCTTCTTGGGGAGTTGGACGAGGAGAAAGGCAACGTGTCCAAACCACAACCGCCAACTAAAACATCTTCTTACAGTCCCACCAGCAGCGGCAACAGCAGTACTAGAACTAACAGCACAGAAAAACAAGTGAGTAGAAATAGTTCTTGCTTTAAATTAAACCAAATTGGAAGACTTTCATGTGAATTGGCGTCTGTTTCCACATCGTCTTTCACAATATGAGGGAACAGTGAGAATCTATGAGTGTCCTCCCACTGAAGGACACTCATAGCAGTTTTTATGCAAAAGTCCACATACACTTATAGCTAGGTATATTTTTTTATCATCCAGTGGTTACCTCTCAGCCAGAGAAAGAGGGTGGGGTTAATGTATTACACATTCTTCTGTTTTCCTGTCTTGAGTTGCACAAGAACATTACGTTGGCCAAACAAGCATAGAAACAACAACTGTATACACAAGTTGGAAGTGTTTAAAAAGGTGAACACCCAAAGAAAAAAGTTTTATTACGGCTAAGTCAACGCTGAAATGAATCAGGTCTTTTTTAGCCAGGCAGCTAACGAAGCGAATAATTATGTTGTTGTGATGACCTCATACTGCACATGGTTCTTAATGTTTTCTTAACGCAGGATGTGAGGGATTACTGCATAAAGGTTAAGTAATAGGATGTAAAGGAAGTAGCCAAGGCTTACTTGAGTTACATTTAAGTCCTAATTAAAAGAGATGGAAACACCTTCTATTATTTCACTAAAAACAAAAACAGAAGGCATTGAATACTGACAAAACTACAACTATACTAAACCTAAACAGTAAATGGCTGAGAGCAAACTGTCCGCACAATCTTGAAACACTGATCTAGTAAAGGGCAGATGAAGGCTGGACCAGATTTTCCTGCACACTTGTCAAGCCACTTAGCTTTGTGTATTGTGTATTGTTTCCATTCTACTAGGTGGGTTCAGGTGGATCTTCACACACCATACACCCTAGATATCAGTGCGATAGACCTCCAGCATCTCCTGCTGGGTGCTCTTGTTCCAGTGATGCCACGATCAGTGCCTTCGTCCTGTTATTCAGTGCACACCCCATCTAGCCATTGGCAGTGCTTCTTTCAATCAGAGACTTTCTCAATTAGCTGGTGGTACACAGGAGCTTACGCTTTAAAAAATGGCTCCTTCCTTTCCTTTATATGGACATGATTATGCAGCACCTCATCAGTAGTCTTACTAAGGTACATAAAGATTGGTGGCTCTGATGGCCGAATGCCCTTGGTCGACCTTCTTCCTTTTATCATTCTGTCTCAAGGTGCTGGCTTAATATTATACATTACGAGGCGCTTCCTTGTCTTGATATGAATTACCTATATCTCTTCCTTTGACCAGACTATGATTGTGACAGACTATCTGATGATTGGCAGAGGTCTTGCACTGGTGACTTGGACTTCGCTCTTCCCTTTCAGCTCGAATTTTCCAAAGCTTTTATTTGGAGCATGAATGAAGAACTTGATTGTTGGTGACTTCCTCAAACCCTTGTTTGCTGTATATCCCGGTTAGGTTGATCGGTGATTTTATGCGTTGTTCTTTTTTGGCTTATAGTTCAATGTTTGAGGTGATTTGTGATTGTTTCACTTTATCTCTGCAGCCTTGTGTTATCTCTCTATTTCTGATAATCCGGCTGAGAGGGTTGAGTCGAGCTTAATTAGCTTCCAGAGCTAATAATTTGCTCTCCCTTCCAAGCTGCAGGTAAACTTCATAAGTTCATAAGAAAACGAAAGCCAAATTGACATATATTTGGAAGGAATGAAGGACGGTATAAGCCAGGCAATATTTGAATTTAAAGATTTTTACTGTTTCTTTCTTTTTTTTGCAACAAGCACTTCTTTGTTGCAGTCATAAACAGTGTATACCACACAGCTAAAATCCGGGACCCAAGTGTTATGTTCTTCTGTCACTTAAAATATTGCTTCTGACTTCTGGGATGAACATTTTCTATCACAGTGCCTGTTAGACAAATGGGTGCTGAGAAATCTTTCCATTCAGTCATCTGGCAAATAACTCCATAGTCAAATTAGTCATAAAATTCTTACCAAACCTTCACTCCCAGCTTTTCTATTTATCCTTCATAATGTTCTGACAACTACAACTCTGCAGTGTTTCTGGCATCTTACCCCACGCAGAGGGAAATTTGTGTAA